GTCGTGTAGTGTGGGTAAACAAATGAGTAATTAGCATTGTTCTATACGTGACACCTTTACTGTTTTATAACAAAACATTCCTGGCAAAGCAAAATGCGATCATTTGGCGTCATGTTTATTATTGGAAATTGTTAAATCAATTATCGAACGTAAGATAAAAGTTCTTAAAAAAAACATATGCATTATCGTTAAATCACTTAACATTATCATCCTTAATAAAATACTAATTATTATGTATTATGCATGCAAATGAGCATTACCTTATTAAAGGAGGGTTAGTTCACATAGGAAACCGCATCTGATTTAATTAACTTAAAGATAATTGCTAATTGATAAAAATCATATGTAACGAAGAAACAGATCGAGAGAGAGAGAGAAAAGACAAATATGTCGGTATTTGAGGCTAGTGAGTCTGAACTTGACATAAGCATTCAGTGAGGCAATAAATAGAGTTCAGTGTGCATTGTGATATGATGATGTGATGATCACGTTGATGCTGTGATCTACAAATTGCTCCCAATTACAATCCGGTGCGTTCAGTGTTGCATTAATGGGGCAATTTCGTCTCCATCCATGTGAATGGTGGTATTTCGATTTTTTCACGTTACACAACATATTTCAATCGAAGATAATTTATACTGAGCGTGCATTGAAAATCGTTGTTACAAGAAAGGCTTAAATTTGACGCTTTCTAAATTTCGATTCGCAGCGTCTAGGCGCAAACAAAGACATTTGTGCACGATTGGAAAGATCATTGATTTCGTACACATCAGAAACAAAAACTGTTGTTCTATTACGTTAGTAAAAGGATTTAAATATAGAAACAATGTTTCATTCAATACTAGGAAATTGAATATTACTATATTTTTGTCAATACTTTTTAATCTTGGCATCAATATATATATATAATTCGGTATACTATAAATCAGGGGTTATTATATCAGAATTTTCGCTTTTCGGTGCAGGTATAGTGTGAAAGCCATAATTTTATGCATATATCTAATCTAATTAGAATGAGTGATTAATGAAAACATATCTTGGTTATGAATTAACATTACGTAACGTTAATTCGTTATTCCATATAAAGGTAATATAAAGTAAGATCTCATTTAGCGGTCTTGATTGACGCTGATTTGCTATAAAAATTCAAAATTTACGCGTATTCAAATTATCGCAGCATTTCATTGATTCGTATATAATACGATTATTCCCGAACATGTAGCTATACTCGTTTGAGATGAAGATGAGCAGGATATGTTAATGAGTTACTGCAGGTTTCTGGTAAGGACCTTACCAACGACGACCTTCAAGAACTGGCAGAACAAGGAATTGAAGAACGCAAATATCTGATTCTGAAGACGATGAACCAAAAGAACTTGCAACAGATTTTCTTAGAAAAAGTTTAGAAACGATAACCGAAATCGTTGATCAAATTGTAGTTTGTAGTTGCCAAAAAGGAGTTTTGGGTGCGATCGCCTGTTACCAACATTTACTTAATGAAAGAAAAATAAAGCGACACATGACTCTAGACGATTTCATCGCCAAAAAATATCAGGACCTTCATCACAAAAATAAATGTCATATTTCTATGTAAAAATTACTATAAATACAACTTAAAATTTAAGTAAAATTTGTAATATTTTTTTCAACAACAAACAGTTGCATCAAATTTTCAAAAACTCAATAATCATTTCAATTGAAAACAGATTTAAACAAATCAATTTTAGAGCAAAATAGAAAATATTGTTTTTTTTCCATACAATTAATTTTGTTGCCATAGGTTTATCAATTTTCAAAAGGAAGTCTTTTAAAGACTTAAAGATATCAAAGAAATACTGCAAACAATTGCATTTCGATAACAAACGAACTTCCGTATGTAAATTATAATAAATTTCCTCATTATTTTCACATAATTGCTCAAAAAAATCATATCAATATGATATTTATACGTATTCAAACTATCGAAATAATTATATTTAAAAACGTATTTGTTTTCACCAACTCCAGAATACTATAATTTCAAAATAAAATTCTTTAATTTTCTATGTATTTATTTAATAATGAAAAGTAAATAAAGCTTTGCAATTACTACAAAATGTTTCGATTCACTAGAAATGTTTTTTTTTTCACATTAATTACTTAAGTAAATTCGATGTCGACGTCTGTCGTAGCATGAACCTGACGGAAGTTCACTTTAGGAAGGATGCACTTGGACCGGATGCAATGTACAATTTCCGTTTTCCGCAACGCGGTCAAGTGTTATGCAACGAGCGCACAATTACCACTAATCGAAAGCAAAAATATCAAAACGCATAGAAAGAAAACGTGTGCACTTGAACAAATCGAAAGTGTGTTAAAAGTGACGTTGTGCAAATAGAAAAACAATATTATTTAAAATTTAAATGTACTAACTAATATGTAATTATTGTAAGCTCATTTCTGTTAAGTAACAAAGTTATTTTCAACTAAATTTATTATACAAAATTAGTAAAAATTAAACATTAGTATTCTTAGTTGAGTCGTTTGCCATACAAATTCATCAATCATCAATAAAAATACGTTCATTTCATTTAAGGAAAACAATATCTCGCATAGTGCGGTTCCAATATAGTACGGTTTAATCATTTCAAAACAAACTAAATTTTTACTAAATTCTAAAAATTTCACAGTTTTAAAATACTCGATTAGTCCAGTTTCAAACAGACTATGATTTTGGTGAAACCGATTACGCGCACTATTGAATTAAACTATAAAAATATAAATTTTGAAAGGTACATTTTATACTAAGCACATAAAGTTATGTTAAGATCAAGATTAAAAAAATGGTTACAACAATCTTGTACTAAATATATGGTCGGTTGTTGGATTGCAATGAATTGACTGAAATTGTGTGTCTTATTATTATTATCGCTGTCGTTTTGTAACGCTAGAACTGGAGCACTCTTGCCATTAGCGTCGAGCAAATTTCGTAAGAACAATCCATCAAAATGCCATGACATACGCCGGTCGGAAATTATTGTTTAAGTGATCGCACATCTCGCAAAGAATGAATAAAAAATTACGAGAGATGAAACAAAATAACAATGGGTAAATTACGTCTGTGTGCTTTTTTTTTTATATATATATACAGTTGCATTCTCTTGAAGAAGTGAAAAATCCCAGCATCAATTATTGCGCTTATTAAAATAGTATGTTATTAAGAATTGTGTTGTTTTTAATTGTTGATTTTCAATCAACGCATGTGAAGGAATTTTCTTAGAAATAATATACAAAATATTTCGAAAATTTTATAATGTTATTGTAATAAATGAACAGATAATAACAATATTTATATAAATTTTAAAACCTAAATTACTATTACTATTGTAATAAAATAACTTGTTAATAATAAATCATAGAGTAAATCTCGAGTAAATAACGAGTTCTTTGATAATGTTTCTTCAATTCATTAAGTCATATGTCCTTTTTTTGCAAATCAAACTTAAACTAAAACATAAAAATAGCATATTTTACATGTTTCAATGACATTATAACATATATAAATTTATAAAAAGCAATAAATGTAGATGAAAGACAATATCCCTGCCAAAAAGACCCTTGTATCAGTTGACTTTTTTGAAATTATATATATTTATTTTGTTATTTTTATTTCTGTATATGTTTTTTTTGTACAACTGATAAACATTATTATTATTTAGACAATATCTTATAATATTTTTAATTTCCCAATGTTTTCTTTTAGTAAGTTCTAATAATATATAAATCGTGTGCATCAATCAATCAGTCCATTTAAATACATTGCTTAAAATAATATCGTATTTTGCTCTATGCATAATAATATCAACACCAGAATTTGAAAACTTGAGTATATCTTAATTTATGTTTAGTGAATGTAGTGTTGTAATCAATTAATTATCTTTCTCGATTAAATGTTTCAGTCTCTGAATAGTTTAGTACTAAGCAGAGACTGATATTATCTTTTATGTTAACCCACATGTCCTCATTCTAAAATATTCAAATATTAAAAGTATTGTTTTGGTAATATATTTCTAAGTTACTACTCAAAACAAAAATATTTGTTATAAATGACACTAATTGTGTTAATGCATATGTAACTATTCAGCAATTAGGATAAACAATCAATAAGTGCCTACATCGTTAAAATAATAAATGTGGGTTTGATTAACATGAAACAACCACATATAACGAGAATAATTGGACATACATTTTACAGAATACTTGTATTAACAACAGAAACAAGTTATATTTAAATTTAATACAGATAAAACATTTAATAATTACAGGCTAAATGCGTGATTTAGTTAATAAATTTATATTAATCTTATAGTTTTATGGTTAATCTATTAGATAAGAAAGTAATAGTTAATCCGAAGATTTAACATTTTACTAAGCTCCTAAGATATTGGTATTTCGCAATTTACATTCATTCCTTGTTTAGAACGTGCATGTTAATTTTCTTTAACTTAAAAATTAAAAAATATTAAGTTGTCATTGACATTTTGAAATACTGACAGACTATATTGTACCAACATTTAGAAGAATGTTAGGTGTAATGAACCGTTTTCGTGTATTGCACATTATTGATTTAATTGGCGAACGAATGTATAAAAAAATATACGAACAGCGTAGAACCAGAACAAGTTTTGTTCGAATAAATTAACTGTAAAATTTGTTTGATTTTAGAAGTACCGTGTAGAAAAATAAATAATAAATGAATCGGCAGACGAGAGACGGCACTAAAAACACGTCAATTTTCGCATGCACGGCACGCTTATCACCAGCTTAGAAGGTAGGTCAAATACGGAACTCGCAGACACAGAAGAAGTTCAAAAAGACGAGAAGAAGGTATAACAAAAAGAAGCAATAGCACTGTTCTAATAGTGTTTCTACAATTATATGGTGTCACGAAAATCAACCCCTTGAGGTGAAGATGTTCAAAAAAAATTACACTATTTTCTACAAACATCAATTGTACTTACTTAAGTCGTTTAGATTGGAGCTGATTGCTGTAGGTTACAACACTTATTGAAGAAGCAAGTAAAGTTCCCTTGTATTCTTCGGCGATGTTTAAGTGGTCCAAATGGTAATATGCGGTTGTATCGCAGCGTGGAAAAGAGCAGCAAACTCGCTTCGAGCACGACACGATCGCAACTAAAAAACACCTACTTTGAAAACAGGTTGTCACTTTGTGCTGCCACCTGGTGCGGCGTATTCGAACTGCGAGTGAAGCATTCGAAAAGATCGGTAAACACTGGTAAACAAATGTTTACAGTTGCTGCGTTCGGCATCCGAATGCACGTACATCATAATATTTAATATGAACGCGAATACGTGCCGACGTCGCTGTAAACAAAATTAATAATTATTTACTAAATTTTGCATAGCTGATCTTTAAATTTATATAATCATTATCAAGGATAAATCGCAGCTTTCAACCTAAAACAAAAAAAAATACAATTTGAATCAAAATTATTAGTTTTTCAGAATTTTAAATTTCATAATAATCAACGAGAATTTTTAAATTGAATACTTATTTATAATTTTGTAAAATAAATGAGATGAATTTTCTTAAACATTTTTAAACAATATTTATAATATTTATATTATTAATTCTTATTGGTTTAGCCTCACCACTATTTTTTTGTAATATTCTTCATTTGTTGCTGTTCATGTCACAAAAACAATAGAGAATCATGTTTTTTGACCATTAATCAAACAGTTGGATATATTTTCTTCAGCAACTAAGATCAATAATAATTTGACGTTAGAAAAGTCAGCTTTCATTTAGATCAGCGTTTCTCAAACTTTATGATCCGCGGCCCCCTTTTGCACTTAAAAAAATTCTGCGACTCCTCGAAGAATGGGTATGTGTAGAAGAACATCCCGAATTGATCTGTTATCAATTTTTTTGCAACCCCCACTTTAAGAACCACTGGTTTAGATAACTTTCCGATCTATCATATATATGTAACTAAATGTTATGGTCAGAAGATGCTACAACTGTTACCATGACCGCATAATCTTGATTCAAGTAAACTATTATACAACGATTTAAAGATACTTAAATTTTAATCATTTGTTCAATTGATAATTGCAGTTGCCTTGACATTTTCACAGGCGAATTCGTTTTACAGCTGTGAATACTCGTCTTACTTGTCAGTTAAATCCAATTATGTTGTTTATGCATTGCATTGTATTTATTTTTTAAGAATCTCGAAAATAAAATCATAATAGAAATTCTTACACATTAATTTTCAATTGTGATTCAAAAAAACTTATAGATTTATCACGAACTAAAGTTTTTTTTTTAAATATTGGGTTTCCATATTGACTTTACATTTTCTTTTGTTTTTTTTTTAATTGTTTTATCACTAATTGATTCGTATCTGGAAAATCCCATCCCGTTTGACGTTAGTAGTTTAACACTTCGAGTGGCCAGAAATTCCTAAATGTCAAGATCCAACAAATTCTAGACAACTATGTCAACTGAATCAACATCGGATGGTATTGCCTATGAAGATTCATCCTTTGATATACAACCAAATTAAACTTTGATACTTTGATACTTCCTAGAAAATTATAATAGTGCACCACTAGGTATGTTCAACATGCAATGTTGTTAACTGAGAAAATTAACTGAAATAATTCACTTTTATTTTTTTTTAATAGTTTTCTGGTGGAAATTAATAAAAAGAATATTTGCTTACGCAGTTGTGCAAATATTTGGTCCTTGTACTCATTATGTCTTACACAAGTTCCGATTTCCTTCCGGACTGGACGTTTGATATTTCAAGTAACCTTCGACCAAGATTAAACAATAGTTTCAAAAGACAATTGTAATACAATATTTTTTTCAAAAGCTTATTTTTTCAGATGTAAATTATAGTACTTTTTCGATTTACAGCTCACAATGTTTAGTTATGCCACCAAAAAATTATGATGTGCTGTAAATTTTTATAGGAAATATTAAGAATGAAATGATTGATTCGTTATATGGCTTTTCGCTTTACGGCCAACAATTCGTGAACGTATTTAGGCCATAAAGCACAAAATGCACAATTAACAACTTGTGAAAAATTTTCATTTGTAACAATTATATTATTAAAAGACAATTCAATTATATATAAGTAATTTTTGCAAATATTTTAAATTTATTTTTTTTGTCTTTAAATATATCTGCTATTATTTTATTTATTTAAATTATTATTAAATATTTTATAAAAAAAAATAATACTTATAGTATTTATATTATATAAATTGTATAAAAACATCAGTAAGAAAAGTATCGGCTTATAAATTGTGAAGACCTTATAAATAAAAAATACAGTTAACTATAAATGGATGTAACAAATAAAAAATAACCGCATTCAAATAAGGCATTCTACCATGAAGAGTCCAACTGTATATATTCTTAAATGACAAACAAATGCATTTCACTCGAAAAACTTCTTCTAATATAATAAATCATTATATGTCATCATTGTACACATAAAAAGTTAATAATAAATTTTAAATTGATTACTTTCAATGCAATACTTTCCAAGCAACACGTACATATTATTAATAATCGTGTAAAATACAAGTGATTTATCTTTTGTATTATTTATTCTATTACATTCCACTGAAAACTTTCTCATATGATGAATTAAATTAACATTCACTCCAATATTTACTTTACTTATTTTTTATGAATAATAGTCTTTACAGATTTGATTATTGATATTATATAATAATTATTAGTATTATATATAATTGAAAATAATAATAAACATAATTTATTGGACACATGCTTCTACATATATTCAATGGATTGATCAAAGTTTTTTGACCAAAAGAAAAATATTAAGTTTATTTTGTTTGTAATTACGTAAATTAATATCAATTGACTCATTATTTCCTAAATCATCAAAGAGTTTTAATCAAAATAAAAAAAATCTATTTATTAAATATACAGACTACATTTACTTGTTTTATATCGTTGAGACAGGAGCGGATTTAGGCAATATCTTTATAATTTGGACAAACATTAAATAACAATTTAACAAGCCAAACGATTAATATTATATATTATATCATTTCATGACTTATTGAATTATTACCAAAGATAATCTGTTCTGAATAGTACATATTTAAATATTTTATTTTCTTAACTTCAAGATTTGTGTGCATCCCACTTCTCTCATTTATTGTTTTCGTGACCGTCAATATGCGGGTGTACTATGTAAATTTATATCATGTTACACAAGGGACCTCAAACAGTATTTGCTAAGGGCCCTCAAAGTTAAACGTTGTGAGTTACGACAATATTTCAATTAGATCAACGATTTTGTTTATTTTTATAATGAAACTAATGTAATGAGAAAATAATAATAAACATTGTAGATTTGTTATTAATAAATCACAGATTAATTAAACGCGTGACGTGTTGAACGGTTTTTAATTAAGATTTGATTTAATACAGACTAATTAAAGAATAATTAAATTATATGATTTTCATTTGTTTGTGACGTGGCGAATGATTTCTAATGAGATTTGACTGAGAATAGATTTAATGCGCTTTTGAAACTGTGGCAAATATTAAACTAATTATTAAGCAAATTAACGGCATTATAAGTGAAATGCTATATATGCACACATTCGCGTATAGCATTTGCACGGTATGAAAGTACGTAAATGACGTTTCTTTTTTTTAAGTAATATTAGAAATTTAATAAGAAGCTGCGAAGGTCAAAAATAAAGAAGAGAATATTTATAAATATTTTATAATAAATAACAATACTAACATTAATTGCAACAAATTACCATAATAAAACTCAACAAAATAACATAATAAGAAAATTAAAACTAAATTGATTTGCCGCAAAGCGTTACTCATCATACTAGATAACGTTTATTCTAAAACATATTATGTATTTCAATAAAAGAAAAATTAATATAAATGTAAATAATTGAAACATCGTAAAGTGGAAAGTAATGCAAATTGATTGTTGCCATGTGCAAATGTATTACATTATATTGATTAATATCGGACGTAGGTGTACATATTTATAATCAGGAAATGGAAGATTAATTAACCTTCACAATATTCTAAATAGTAATGCAACACATGTTCATCAGAATGCAAGTATACTTGCATTATGTATGCGTATATTACAAAGGTAATATTCTCGTATAGGCAACACTATTTTCACCATTAATTTGTCAGATTGTTAAATTGTTTCTCCGTCCGTATCAAAATAAGTGTCCGATTTAGGAATTTATTTGTTCAAAATATGTGTCCAATTTTATAAAAAAATGTAACGTGTATTTTCACAACTAAACAATAACATAAAATAGAAAAAAATGAAAATTAACACTTACGAGTAACATTTAACAAATTAGTAACTGTTCACTGCAAAAGCAGTTTGTCCTTGCTCATGTGAAAAAGCTTGTAATTGTTCCTCCTTTATGAAAAATGTTCAATTCCATACACTTCTGGAATATAATGAAAACATTGTCTAGCTTTCCGAATTTATTTCATCCAATGCTTTATGGCAGTGGTTTCCAAACTTGAGGTTACTACGCCTCCCTTAAAAATCGATGGCAATCGCAAGTCCGACAACCGAAATCCCGACTATATCGAAATTCCGACAATCTAAAACTTAATAAGATTAATTGTTGTTATTTATTGTTAATTACAAACTAATTTTATTATAGAATATTTCTTATTCTTAAGTATTATAATCAATAAGTCAACGAAAAAAAAAATACAATAATAATTAATATTATTTATTGTTATTAAGAATAAATAACAACAATTAATAATCGGGCCTAGGTCTTAAAAGTATTTTTTCAGTATCCGTCGTTTCTATTAAAATATAGTAGAATAATTTAAAAATGTTATTGTAGAAATTATAATAATAAAAGACACTGTCGGGATTTCGATACAGTCGGGATTTTGATTGTCGGGATTATGGTAGTCGGGATTTCGATACACTCGGGATTTCGAACGTCGGGCTTTCAATAGACGGTCTTTCGGTTGTCGGGCTTGCGATATAGAATCTTAAAAATATTTAATCTTTTCATAAAATATATAAAACTTTAGCAGTCATTTAGACAAATTGCTCACTGTGACTAATATTAGCGCCACCCCTTACACTAGTCCTTGCCTCCCCTTAGACTAGTGCGCGCCTCACAGTTTGGAAAACGCTGCTTTATGCAATGAGTTCATCAATACTGTATGTGGACTCTGTGTTGTAATGATTGAATGGCGTTAAAGAAACCCAAATCGAGGACATGAAATCGAGGTTGTTTGGTGGTTGACAAATAATTCTTATATTTCACCCATTTTCAGTACCAACGCGAACAACTTGATGATGATCAACACTGCAATGTGGTTTAGCATTATCTTGCTGGATTTTGATTGACATGGTTTTATAGACTTTTTGTGTACTTTTTGACGACCGTAAAAATTAACTTTAAACAAATTGTCACCAGGTAAAAAAACAACTAACAATGTAACAAAATTTTACCTGTTCACTGCAAAATCTATTTTGAAAAATGTCAAAATTTAGGTGGCTACTAGAGTCACTTTTTTCATAAATAAGTACTGATGCATTTAATTTCATTATTTCAATACTCTAGTAAAAATAAACTAAAATCGGACACTTATTTTGGAACGTTTGAGAAAAAATGATGTAATCGATCGACTTAAAAACCTCGCGATCGACCATTTGAGCACCATGAATAGTTTATGGTAATATTAATGATCTGCAAGAAACAAATACAATGGAACATTAGACTGCGAATGTTTTGCAAGACAATTTGATGAACGAGCGAGATCTTGCAATACGAGTATTACCTATACGTTTTGTCTGTCGAGCGTCACGTGAAGTCTATACTACAAATCTTCATGGATAAAGAAATATGATGATCATAGTGAATTCTGATTTAGTGGCACCATGATATGCGGGGATCCGGGCATTCCCCCGATTGGCCGGTGGCGCTACTGGCCCTCAAATCATACTTGCGTGTAGTTTGTAACTAAATATGATCAAGATTTTGAGGAAGTATTGAAACGCATCAAATAGCCAGAAGAAAAAAGGAATTTATGTTGGAAAATACGTTTTCATTTTCCAAAAGAAGAATGTAATTTTATTAATTATTAAAAATAATCATAACTGAAAATGAAATTATTTTGATATTTAATTATAAACTAATTATAATAAAATGGAGAAGGTGATTTATGTAAAATGATGTAATTGATTAGTATTATTTATTGATTTCATAACAGCCTTTCGAAATTACAATTATATTGCTTTGAATGTAATATATAGACTAGATATGCTACCACAGACGAAAAAGCCCTTAACACGTCGTTATTTATTTTCTTTATAGTTCAGAATAGTGTAACGCGTTTAATTAACAATTATACTTTTCCATTCCAAGTTGACTATATAGTTTATCATCAAAGATGATTTGATTTAACTTGATTTTTTTTAACAAGCTACTCAGTTTATTCGACCCACCTAAACTAAAAAAAAACATGTTATATTATAATGATCTCTTTGTTACAGTTTGATCTTTACGCATTTTAGCTGCAATTATTTTGTACTAAAGGAAGAACTTATAAATTAGATTACTTTATAAATAAAAAACAAACATTAACTAAGCTAAAAAAAGGATAACAAAGTGTGATTGTGATTAAAATTGTAAAAATAACAGATGATTCTTAATAATACTGCTTATTACTTAGCATGTTGACTAGATGAAACGGTTGCATCTTGGGGAGGCGCAAAACTAACGATCTCGCATATAGGCGTTCCTAGGACTTCCTCACACACTAGACTTATTTCTTTGTCGAGCATCAAAGAATGGATCTGATCCTCGTTTAACATATCAACGCTACAAGAACAAGTACAATATAATAAACTGAGTTTGAATAACGCAATTTCATTTCTTACCTGGATAAACTCTCGGTATCGGAAGTGTCATCTTCAATATTAAGATATGTAAGAGTTTTTTCTAAAGGACTAGGTAACTTTTTGGTGCATTTACCTTCAGTTATACCCGGTTTAGGTTCGCTGTTCCTTCGCTCCGTGAGCGAGCTAATGTTCAGCATCATCATTCCGTGCGACCAGATTTCCTTGACCTTCTCACTGGTTGGTCCCAAAATATTATCTAAACTTTGCCTTCGACCTTAAATTAAAAAAAAGATACCCATCAGTTTGCATTTCAAATACCGAAGCTATCAATTTACTGGAACTAGGCTCTTCGGTCTTAACCGACGATCGCGATATCCAATTGGAAATGCTCGAATCCAGCTTCATTTTGCTCTTCGTTCCAAACTCGCTGTTAATTGCAGGATTAGGCAAAGTTGTTTGCTTGATTAATTTAGGTTTATCGCTATCGTTGAGATCTAACTTCTTGAAATCGTCCTCGGGACTGGATACATCCAAATTGATTTCGGTCCATTCGCTGGATTGGCTTTGCGTAACGCTTGGATGTATGATCTTTTCGGATTGCTCGCTTTGGGATATTGTACTTGTTGGTGATATGCTTTTGTAACCTTCCACATCTTCCAGATTGTTTAGCAGTATCGGTAGATTGGATAACTTGGGAGGTAGACTTTTAAACTCCTCGGAGAAGTCGTCCACATACGATGACTCGTTACTATCAATACTGATTTGCTTTGTAGGCGCACTCAATGCGACCAATTTGGTTGTGTTGTTCCTTGTGCGATGGATTTCGTCGGAGATTTGCTCCAGATTTCTCAGAGCCTCAGCATATGTCCATTTCGCGTTTGATACTTGCGATTCCAGTGTCTGCACTCTCGTCTTCTGCTGCTCCAGCAAATAATTAAAATGAGCCTTCATTTCATAATAAGGCCTAAAAAAACACTGCTATAGACGGTAAAACTATAAACTTCTGCAGAGAAATGCGTGAATAATTAAATGATAAACTAATTTACTTACAACAACATCAATTCATGCCGGTAAGCAAGGCTACTTATTGTCATAAGGTTTCGTCGGATACTCAAACTAAATAAAATAAAAAATAAGAAAAGAAAAATAATAAATAAATCAAAATACAAGCACTACAAATTTATACTCAAAAGGAAGTTAGACATTTCATAATTCTAGTATATAAATTATACCTCGGTACTCGGTTCTGTAAATACAGAATTTCCTGAAAATTTTTGTATATCAAGTAACAATACTAAGGTGTTTTTCGTGACAAAAAAAATAAAACCAAGATGTAAGCATAAATGTGCAATGTTGCATCGTTGTAGTGAGGTTCAGAACAGTCGTCGAGTACTGAAACATTGAAAATGAGACGAGTACCGAATTGTTACGAGTCTTGAAGCTGTGGAGTACCGAGGTTCCATTGAATATTATACTATTTCAAGCACTTTACATTTACATTTTTTACTTATAAAGTGTTCTCAACATATTTGCTTTAGTTCAATATTTTTAAGGTGTGGCTGTTAAATAGTTATAGAATTTGTATGTCTAATAAGACAAATATTACTTAAGAAATATACAATGAAAACAATCAAATTATTTATTGTTATTGAAATATTAATGAATATATTGCTATTATTTTAAATATAAAAATAAAATTATTTATTTTCTTACTTGAATTAAAAAATATCTAAAACTTCCCACTGAAAATACAATTGTTATACTTGCCTGCTCTTTGCAATTGCTCTTTTCAATTCCCTTTGCAATGATTTCACTTTAGCATTAGCTGCTTCATGTTTGACACAAGCTATTCTATGTTCACCTGCCGCTACTCCCCTATCTGTTTCTGATTCATTCACTCTCTGAGTAGCATGATTCAACATCTCCTGCCATGCCGGATCTACAATGAACAAAACAATTAACAACAACATTATAACTTTACAAAATGAGATTTACCTAATGTCCTGCCACCTAATCCTTGTTCAGCTAAGTAAACCATCTCTCGAGCAGCACTATGAGCACTGTTCGCTTTCTCATATTTCATAGCAGCAACCTGGGTTTGCTTCAGTGCTTCATTGGCACAGAATCTAGCCTCATAGTAAGGTTTAGCCCTTTCAATGCACAGCCCTAACTTCAATCTTATTGTATCGATCTTGGCGGTGCTATCACACAGCAAATTCCTAAAGGATGATCTGGCCTCATCCAGGTCCACCTCCAACCTGTTTATCTCATCTGTGGCACTGTTTAACCTCTCCAATTCTATGTGCACTCTTGGATCAACGGTGTCGGTATAGTCTGCCCCATTCTCGCACATTATTGCAGGATGTCCGGCGGTCCTAGAATTTCAAACTTTGTTTATAAATTTAAAACATCGCCCTACAATGGTAAATGTCAAAACGTCAGATGTTATTATTGAAAACACTGCGGACAAGTGTTGACTCCGTGGCTCCACCTAACGGGTCAATTCAATATTTACGAATTTAAATTTTTAATCCAATTAGAATAATTTAATTTATTATTTTGATGGAATATAAAGTAGTTATGAAGTACTTAGTATTGAATAAAATATATATTAAAGAACAAAACTTTGTTTGGTTCGATTTCGTGAATGAAATAATTTAAATTTGATTATTAGTAAATTTAAAAAGATTTTTACTTTTATATTAAAATATCCAACATAACATAGACAATCTCATCAGATTTATTTAATGTATATAATGATACCTATTTAAAATAAATTCCCATAATATGATCTTCATAATAAATTGCTTAATTATTTGATATTCAAATTATTCTAATAGAAAAATTAATTTTCTTAAAATAATATAAAGAAAATAGTTGCAAAAATACAATAACACAATCCAATAGATATATTAAATTGTAATAATTACAATATAGTAAACCTTCACCCATAATGTGGTTTCCATATAACGCAGAACAAAACTTACGAGAGTCTTCATATAACGTAGTTCTCTTATAACGCTGTTCCAATATAATATAATTTAATTAGCTTAAGAACTATTTTGGGAAGAAACTTTAGAATCTAAAGTTTAGATGCAGATGAATTGATGGCATTAATTGACTGACGGATTTTCGCATAGGCGCAGGAGGCGAGAGCCATGGTCTCTTAAATCAAGGAAGCCTACGACAATCTTAACCCGCTTACTGAAACTTTGCAAACACATAATAAAAGTATTACTAAATGTCCCACTCGTATTGTAGGATTTAAACAGTATTTCAATGCATAATGTGATATGATTTATACCAATAGGTCGTTTTAAGTCTAGCATACGGATACACTGTGATCTTGCAAGTTTCTATATATTTTCAAGTATTTATAATACCTTTTTAAACTAAATTGAAATTTTAATGAAACATTTAGGGAGGGCCTCACAATGCAATTGCTTATTCCGCCACTGTTGGCAGTATCCATTTAAATCAGCGGTCGGGGAACCGGGGTAAATTACCCAAAATGGGGTAAAAATGAATTTTTTTAGGGTAATTTTTCTAATTTCATCTTACCAAACTCAGAGAGCGGTTATCTGACTACTTTTCAGATCTTGATGTACAAACTGTGAATTGGGTAGTAGATCGTTTTAAATATGAAATTACTAACATACCAGAAGAACCTCTAGGTTTGGCAGAGGCAGTACTTGAACTTCCATCCAATACTGTATTCAATTTGAGACCAAAGCAAATCTTGTCGTCTTTTTGGTTGCAAAGGCTTTCAAAATTGCACATGAGGAGGCGGAAAAAAATTGCTGCCATTTGCA